CATCCTAGATGCAGAGGAGACCAGGTCACTTATTATCTGCAATGGAGGGGCTCCATCTCCTGGGATCTGTCGGTCTCATTGGAATAGAAAATCCTTACCTATATGGTATACAGGGCAGACTGTGTCTCCTGGGTATAAACAGTGTGCTGGGGGGAAGTGGAGAAGAAACAGATGTGTTAACTGAAGGAAGGAAGGTTTCCAGAGGTATGGAGATCCAGCTGGGTGTTGAGAGAAGACAACTGTTACTGATCCCCAATGGGTGGGTGACCCCTTAATGGGTCCTTTGCCCAGAGCTGCAAATGCCAATCAAATGTCAGGTAGAGCAGAGCAGAAACTTGATTCGTTGATCAAAGAATGGAGAAAGGAGGGTTCATGCTCTAAAAGTACCTTCTCTCCAAAGGGAGGGGAGTAAAGGATTTGAAGGGGTAGGAGGCAGGCTCTAGCAAAGGGGCGGAGATTTCTGAGGGCAGCTGGGGGCAACCAGGGCATGCGCAGTCTTCCAGGCTTCTTTGCACTCGGCGCAAATTGTGCCTAGCAGAGGGCAAGTCTCTCTAGCCCACCCCACCCCACCTCCTCCACCCCCTGTGGAGATCTTAGCATGGTGATGAAGCAAAGGGAACTTTTGGACACCTCCAGGTCTCATCTGTGCATCTGTGGTCAAGTCAGAGCCGGTTCAGGGCATAAACCACTGCATATCTCTTGAAGCACGACTGTAAAACATTCGACAAATACTGGGTGCTTTGAAATAAACACAGAGATAAATCAAGACCTGGATCCTTCAGGTCTCAGGGTCGGGTATGGGTGACACACCCTCAACAGATACCAGGAAAATGCAGGCACGTAGATGGATGGAACACATACTCGGAAGTGCAAGGCACCGGTGGGTGGGGTAAGACAAGGTTAAAAAGTAGATAGGAGTTACTTAGGGCAGACTTTGAATGTCAGAGGTAGGATTTTAGGTTAGGATATCAAGAGGACAGCACATATGGATCAGAATAGTGAGGCCAGACATAGGCAAACCAGTTAGGAGGCTGTCTCAATAGGGCAAAGAAAGATAGTGTCAGTGGGAGCAAGGGAAAACAGGACAGCAGTGGAGAGGAAGAGGCCAGATCTGGAGCTGAGATTCTCCATCTGGGCTGTGTATCAGAGTCAGGAGGACTTCCAAAGTATAGATGCCCACGTTACACCTGCAGACCAGCTGAACCAGAACCTCGGGGTGAGAGCCAGGTATCTGTGCTTTAAAGCTCTCCAGGTGATTGCAGTGTTCGCTAAGGATGAGAACCCCTCGTCCAGAGCTGAGGCAAGGGGCAAGCCACAGAGCTTGGTGACTCATTGGATAGGGGAGGCAGAGGAAGGAGCTGAAAATGCGCCCAGGGGTCAATTCCATGAACGTTGAGGAGGTGATGCCCTCAGACAAGGTCCTGAGGAAGGAGACAAGGCAGTGCAGGTCAGGATGGAGGGCCAGGTGGAGACAGATGCTGGGAAAAAGGCTGAGAAGTCCATCTCCTATCGGTCTGGTCTCCAGAAAGGACTGGCAACAGAGACCCTGCCGGGCAAGGAAGACCAGAAAACATCCCTTCCATCCTCCGTCCTGCAGGACCCATTGATTTTGCACTTTAAGGAGGAGAAGACCCTCTCTGAAATATTGTCTCGGTGGCTCAGGTCTAAATAGATACCACTGTTTTGCACTGGAATTTTTTTAAATGGCATTTGGTGCCAGAACAGTGGCAAACCCAGTCCTGGATTCCTCCTCTGACCCAAGGCCCAGCTACCAGAGTAGTGCACACATTCCTGGAGGGTTAGACTTGGCTCTGATTTTCCTAGTTTATCTAAGTCATTTTGGAAATATGTACGTATTTTGGCCTTTACAATTTCTGTACACCGTGAGGCACACTGGATCTTTGTTCCCTGACCAGGGATTGAACCCAAGTCCCCTGCAGTGGAAGCACAGAGTCCTAACCACTGGACCGCCAGGGAATTCCCTGCACTTTTTTTTTTTTATGTTTAGCAATACTCTGAGTTATTTGGAAATCCTTCAAAGGACTTCAGTTTTGATTATAAAGCCCAAATTCCAATTACACACCTGTATCAAAGCTCCAAGGAGTCCAGAAAAAGAACTAATTCTATCACTTCCACTCAACTCTGACTCCACCCAACTTTCCTTTGCTTTTCCCTTGGCAAACTTCTGAGCAGTTCATGGGGAGCTTTTCCAAAGTGTCTATTGCCTTTGTTGTATTTTTTCCCTATTAGCATATTGGTATTATTTTAAATTTTCTATCCATGTCAGTCACGTGTAGAAAATTTCACAAGCTGTAAGTATAGAAATTGATGAATTCTTACAAAGTGATCACACCTGTGTAACCACCCAAGTCACACCAAAAACGAACGTTGTCAGCACCCCGGAGACCCCTCTCAGACCCCCCAAGTTACTGCTCCAACCCTTCTTCTCAGAGGTTACCACTGGCCAGACTTCCAACACCACTGATTAGTCTTGCCTGTCTGGGGACTTTTCGTAAATGCATTTTATTCTTTTGTGTTTGTGTAATTTTCATGCAAAATCACGTGTGTGAGATTCACCCACACTGTTGCATGTAGAGTTGGTTCATTTATTTTCTTTACCATGTAGGACCCCACTGTGCAAACACGTCACTATTGTCCATCACACCGTTTGGATTGTTTGGGGCTAGAATGGATAATGCTGCCATGAACTTATCTGTGCATGTCTTTCGTGAACATGTCGATTATCGAATCTTAATTGTGTTTCTTGTATTTAGGTTAAAAAGACAGTATTTTAAGTCTTCTGTCCATTTTTGGATTGGGTTGTTTGTTTTTTTGTTATTGAGCTGCATGAGCTGCTTGTAAATTTTGGAGATTAATCCTTTGTCGGTTGCTTCATTTGCAAATATTTTCTCCCATTCTGAGGGTTGTCTTTTGGTCTTGTTTATGGTTTCCTTTGCTGTGCAAAAGCTTTGAAGTTTCATTAGGTCCCATTTGTTTATTTTTGTTTTTATTTCCATTACTCTAGGAGGTGGGTCAGAAAGGATCTTGCTGTGATTTATGTCATAGAGTGTACTGCCTCTATTTTCCTCTAAGAGTTTGATAGTTTCTGGCCTTATATTTAGGTCTTTAATCCATTTTGAGCTTATTTTTGTGTATGGTGTTAGGGAGTGATCTAATCTCATACTTTTACATGTACCTGTCCAGTTTTCCCAGCACCACTTATTGAAGAGGCTGTCCTTTCTCCACTGTACATTCCTGCCACCTTTATCAAAGATAAGGTGTCCATATGTGCATGGGTTTATCTCTGGGCTTTCTATTTCTCCAAAGAAGATATACAGACTGCCAACAAACACATGAAAGAATGCTCAACATCATTAATCATTAGAGAAATGCAAATCAAAACTACAATGAGATATCATCTCACACCAGTCAGAATGGCCATCATCAAAAAATCTAGAAACAATAAATGCTGGAGAGGGTGTGGAGAAAATGGAACACTCTTGCACTGCTGGTGGGAATGTGAATTGGTTCAGCCACTATGGAGAACAGTATGGAGGTTCCTTAAAAAACTACAAATAGAACTACCATATGACCCAGCAATCCCACTACTGGGCATATACCCTGAGAAAACTGAAATTCAAAAAGAGTCATGTACCAAAATATTCATTGCAGCTCTATTTACAATAGCCCGGAGATGGAAACAACCTAAGTGTCCATCATCGGATGAATGGAGAAAGAAGATGTGGCACATATATACAATGGAATATTACTCAGCCATAAAAAGAAACGAAATTGAGCTATTTGTAATGAGGTGGATAGACCTAGAGTCTGTCATACACAGTGAAGTAAGTCAGAAAGAAAAAGACAAATACCGTATGCTAACACATATATATGGAATTTAAGAAAAAAAAAATGTCATGAAGAACTTAGGGGTAAGGCAGGAATAAAGACGCAGACCTCCTAGAGAACGGACTTGAGGTTATGGGGAGGGGGAAGGGTGAGCTGTGACGGGGCGAGAGAGAGTCATGGACATATACACACTAACAAACGTAGTAAGGTAGATAGCTAGTGGGAAGCAGCCGCACGGCACAGGGATATTGGCTCGGTGCTTTGTGACAGCCTGGAGGGGTGGGATAGGGAGGGTGGGAGGGAGGGAGACGCAAGAGGGAAGAGATATGGGAACATATGTATATGTATAACTGATTCACTTTGTTATAAAGCAGAAACTAACACACCATTGTAAAGCAATTATACCCCAATAAAGATGTTAAAAAAAAAAAAAAAAAGACAGCATTTTATCTGCAGACAGAGGGGCTGAGGGGAGGAACAAGTATTGGGGGAATGAAAATAAGTAAAAGAGGAAAAAGAAAAAGGAAAACCTCAGTTTCCCACGCATTTCGCCTCTTTATTAACCTCACACACTTTATTACTCCTCACACTTGGGAGACAAGAGCCACGTTGTGGAGGGACTGAGTGGGAGAGAGTGGGGGACAGCAGGTGAGTAATCCCGGGGCCGTCCTGTTAACTGAAGGGGTTCGATGCCACGAAGTTGGTTGTTCCTCCAGGTCAGCATGGCACTACGTTTGGGATTTCTGAATACAGAGTGGCATTATTTTCTGTTCCCTCCAAGTTCTATTTAAAAATCCACATTGCTGGGCTTCCCTGGTGGCGCTGCGGCTGAGTCCGCCTGCCGATGCAGGCGACGCGGGTTCGTGCCCCGGTTCGGGAGGATCCCACATGCCGCGGAGCGGCTGGGCCCGTGAGCCATGGCCGCTGAGCCTGCGCGTCCGGAGCCTGTGCTCCGCAACCGGAGAGACCACAGCAGTGAGAGGCTCGCGTACCGCAAAAAAAAAAAA